CAGGGCATCTCTATCTGATCCGCAACTCGTCATCACTCCCGACAACACCGACCACAACACCAAAGCCGTCGTCTATAATACAGCCGATGAATATGAAAAGCAACGAACACTCGGCTAAATCGAGTCCCTCAGCGATCCTAACGGTGCCGATGGGCTCAACACAACCGCAACAATTCTTCGCCAGTTTAGGCCAAACACAGGCCTCGACGCTAATACTTAACACCGCAAACAACGCACCAATAGTTCAAATCGCGGCCACAGCACCCGTCACAACAGTCATGGCTAACATCAATACCAATCAAACCACTTGTTTCACAAACACTGGTATCGACGCGAAAGAGAAGACAACAATTAATGGTAACTTTAGTCACAATAACTCAGTGAATGTGGAGCGCGGATGTCAGGCGTCCATCAGTGATGACGAACTCTCCTGTGATAATATGAAGACAACGGCCACTCAGGTATGTCTCCTCTCATATAGTATTTGTTTTTCTTATTCAGTAGTTGTTTGTAAACATATTTCTTATATAATTAACACAATTTACNTTTCTTATATAATTAACACAATTTACATAAACATAAATATCTGAACTCCAGTGCCATTGCCTTAAATTTGCAAAAACACAAACTTTTTTATTAGAGTTTTAATGTTTTAATTGCATTTTTATAGCTTCTAATGCAGTATAAGGTTTGTTGAAAATGTTTCGCTTCGCTTTCAAGTGTCGATTAGTTTTGAAATAAGTGGCAATTCTTGTATAAAGCAATAAAGCAATCAATGCAATACATCGATCAAAACTTGTTTTCAAACTTTATTACACTTTTTTTTTAACTTGTTGTTTCTTATAAATATTCAAATGCTTTTACTTTTACACAGTAGCTATTGATTTACTGTTGCCTTTCACTACTTATTTAAAGTCAACATTATTACAAATATAGAAATATCTGCAAAACAAGTGTTTGACTTTTACACACAATCCGTCCCTTTATTGGACAGCAATTGCAAACAATTTAATTTAAATTGTATTTAATTACAAATAAAGTATTTCATTTAGCAAATGCACGGTTTAGTTAAGTCGTGATATTACTTGATATCATTGATTAAATTCTAATATATTTTTATAATTATAATATGGTAAAACATTATTAATTTTAAAAACAAATTGATTATTAATTTTAATGATATCTGTATTGAAAATTCAAATATCATTGAAATTAATAATGAAATGCTTTTATTTTTAATTTCTTTAAATGTGCCCAAAGAGGAGCTGAGAATTTGAATTGATTTGTGTATTTATGATTCATTGCATATGTTTTGAATGGAGAGATTTGTTTCCACAATTGATTGCAATCGTTATACAGTATTAGAGCTAAAAAAGTCAAACAGAATATGAAATAATTGGCACTTATTTGTGCAAAACCGATGTATAGCTTATGTTTAGAACATTGAAACAACAAAAAACATTGAAATAGGATATAATGGGTTTGAGTCACACTTAAACAAACTATACATTTGAATAGCATTTTAATAATTGATGATAAAACCAATGATATCGTTGTTTAGGTGGACATGGATTGCATCCATTCCTCCGAAGAAGACGACGACAACGACGGAAAGCGCCATAAATTGAATTTATTTAGTGAACGAAAGCGAAGAACAAGTGAAACGAATTCGTCGGTTGACGACAACGACGACGAGTCGAGTCGAGACTCGATTCAATTGCAAATCGTTGACGAATTGGCGGCCGACGAACCGCCACAACTGCCCGTGAAATCGGCGCCAGTCATGCAATTCATCGATCATCACGGACTCGACCTCTTGGTTGACTCCATCGAAGAGTTTGCCGCTCGCGAAGAGACTAATACATCCACTATTAGCG